CTCTGGGAAGCCGCCTGTGCTTCGCCGGCGCCTGGGCACCGAGGGCTTCTCCTCCTTTGGTATGGGCGGGATTTGTTGTGCTTGAAGCAACCGTAGCGTGAAAGACTGCTAGGTCTAGTCCGTTTTTTAAAGCTTCCAACTTTTTAAGTGGTGATTTGGTTCATTTTAATACAAGCCCTCATTTTTTTGTCTTCTTTTAAGTGTTAAGATCGATCATATTTAACTGTTTGTCTAAACAAAATGCCTGCTGGGTTTTTTCTTTTTAAGTAGGCCCTATTCCTGCCTGCCTGTGAAGCAGACTCCCTGTGGGTGAGCCTGTGTGCAAAAAGTCTTTTTTTGACCGGTAGTGAAAATTTCTTATCGTGCCGGTGGTTGCTTCCCTGTCAGCTTTCTTTGTGAACACTGCAGGTTGGTGCATACACATTCACTTGCTTTCTGTTTTTGTTAGTCCTCAAGCTCCAGGGATGAGGCTCTAAGGGACAAACGCACCCGGATCCTGTCACGCGGGCTGCCGAAACAGAAGCCCATAGAAGGAGTTAAGCAGGTGGTGGTCTTGGCTTCTGGAAAAGGGGGAGTTGGAAAATCAACAACAGCAGGTAAGACTTTTTTTTTATTGTTTACTTTACACATTTGGTAATATATCGTAAGGAATATTTGGACACTTGTGTTGTTGTCTTGTAATTGAGTCCCACTAATGCAGCCCTTCACCTCTGTCAAGTCCTATTGCAGTCCTTGAGAATCTGTGTGGGTACAGAGGTCTTGGCTTTAAATGAGGTGCAAAATCGAGCAGACAGCTTTGAAATAATATCTTTGTAATAGTTCAGTGCTGTCTTGGGACAGCCTGCTTGCTTAGGAGACAATGTAAGATGAGGTGGGGGGGATCATATGGCGGTGCAGTGATGCTGTTCCTCCTTCCCTAGTGCTCCTTTGTGCCATGTCAGCAGTCATGTGCTCTGTAAGGGATACTGATATTTAGAAGGTTTCAGAATCAGTTCTCTTTCCAACTTTCTCAACTACTTGTATAGGCATTTCATAAACAAAAGGTGAAACAAAGCCTTGTTTAAATACTTCGGTTGTTTTTTGTTGTTGTTGTTTTGCTTTGCCTAGTACAGTGTTAAACTAACTGTTTGTTTCTTCTACTTCCTATCTTTTTCCTGTCAAGTTGCTGTCTTTTACCAGTGTTCTGCTGTATTTACTTCATCTGGCCAAAGTAATGTTTTTGGTGGTTTTTTTTTTGGTGTGGGGTGTTTTTGTTTTGGTTTGGTTTTGTCTCTCCTGTCTCCTCTTTTGCATTAGAAAGACGAATATTGTAGAAAATTGATCCTGTCATGACAGGAGTTCAAGCTGTGGTCTTGAAAGAAGGGAAGTTTCTAAAATTTACTGGCACTCTTACTGTTTTTAGTTACGGAAAATTAATGGCTGGTGTTCTTGCTCGCATTTGTTAATCCTGCAGTTTGAGGAAAATAAAACTACTGATACTACCAACTACTTTGGCCTTAAGACATTTTTAGCAATGATTAATGGGCTAAGATTTTTTTATTATTTTTCAGGAGAGCTGATACATTTGACCACATGTTGACTTCATCTCAGTCATATTAACTCTATTTTATTTTTTTTTTCTGTCGCATGCTTTTATTCTGCATGTAGAATGTCTTGTTATTGAAACTTACCCTTCCAAGGCAGAGGCCAAAATCCATCTGTTCGCCTGACCAGCCCAGACACAGGTCTGAGCTTTGGCAAAGGCGATAATAGTGGTTGTTCATGGTTCTTTTCCAGGATCAATGTCATGTTTTTTCATTCTGGGCCTTCTCTACGTCTTAGAATATGCTGATAAATAGTCATAAACTGGTTATTCTATTTCTAAATTTCATTTACATTGATATGTAAGTATTGAAAGTTATCTTTCAGAGAGAATTCATCTTGGTTATCTATAGGTATTTTATTGATGATTTAGATAACCACGTCACAAATGCAGACACACTCAGCTGGCTCTGTACGTGTCTGATTTTGGGTGAAGAAGTTTTATTTGTATTGTTAGCTCAGTGGTCTGAGAATTCAGCTGTGCAATTCCTGGGGCCATTTTGGATTTGGAAGTTACAAAGTCCAAACTAATAAAACTTCCCAGAACTGTACTGATTTCAAAAAGGCTAACTCGTATCTCCCTGTGCATCGTTCTTGATACTGGTTGGCTGATTTAGCATGGGCAGAGATACCATGGTGACTTTTCTTGGACCCTGTTGTAAAGTTTAAAAAAAAAAAATAAAAAAAAAAAAAAAGTTTTATTCAACTTACGGAATGTATCTGCCCTGTTCTCCTGCATTCCTGGTTATGGGAACTTACTAGTTAGGGTCAACATGAATGTTTAGGATCAGGTTAGGTCCTATGCTGCATTTCTATGCCCTCTCGCAACTGATGGTAGTACAAAGACAACGGAGTGCAAGGATCAGCTGGGATCCAACAGAAACATGAAATGTGCATCTAGAAAACTCAAGGTTTTTCCCTCTATATTATTCTCACTGTCTCCCTTTTTTCCCTTCAGTAGTCAGATATCCTTTACTGAAGAAGCATTGTGGATCATACTTTAATTTTCACACATGATAATTATGTAGGAAGAAGACAGATGTATAAAGTGGTTTTAAGAAAGTGTGTGGGGTAACTCGCTGCTTCCTTTGTGCCTCTTCAGACATGAGCTACAGTTGATTTTATTTTTTTTTTCTTAATTTATCATTGGTTTGCTTGTTTTTTTCTCCTTCTCTGTGGTTTGTAGATTGGCCTCCAAGCTTCAGAGGATCAATTTTCCTGTGATTGATTCAGGGAATGGCTAATCAAGCATCTGTTTAAATAGCAAACTGAAGAATAAAATCTATATGCTTTATCAGCTTAGGAGTAAACAGAGGCTGTGTGCTTCTTAGGGAGCACTGTACAATTTTTCTTGTTAACCTCCTCACCATTTTGTTTAAAGGAACTTGCCTTTCTCAATACTAAATTCTTTAAGCTGGGAATCTCGCTCACCAGCTTTTTCTGAGTACCTTCATACTCTCCTAGTAGAATAAGGCTGATCTTTCTTAAAGCTTATCTTTCTTAAAAAGGCACTGTGGACTGACATACAGCAATGTGTAAAGAAAGCAAAAGATGTTACCCAAGAGAGAGTTTTGTGTGGTGGGTTTTTTCCATGTTTTTTTTCTTTCCTTTTGAAACATGTTACTGCTTTGGATTATAGCAGTCACTGTTGGTTATCTGAAGCTTCTGGGAGGTCTTCCAACATAATTGAAGCTGGTGGGCAATTAAAAGATACCATTTCTTGCATGTGCTTTTTAGTTATGGGAGTTAAGTATTGATGGAAATGTAAAAGCTGTTAAACAAAGTCACAATCTTTTTAATTACTTCATCCTGTTTTTGTGTTTCTTTAATTGTTACAGAGGCTTTCAGGGTAGATGAGACTTTGTTTTATGACGTAAAAATCAAGTGAAAAGCATGCATTGCACCTTCTTCCAGGAAATATTAATATTTAATACGTCACAAGAAATCAGAAAGAGGGGTATGATCATCCTTCCAGTCACTGTACTTTAATAGTGGAGGTCAATACTTACCTAATCCCTAGTTTTAAGAAAGTTTACTGGAGACTGTGGTGAAGGTTGCCTATGGTAGGGTTATTTTAGTTTTATAGTCCGCTCCTCAAAAGTCAGGTACCTCAAAAGTTTTTTTCTTAATGTTCTCCTTTGGCAAAATACTTAGATTGTATTTTTATTTTGCGGTGTCCTCTAGAAACTCAGAGTTTGGAAGTTTTTGCAGGTTAGCTTGAGTACTGAAATGTGGGTGCTGCTGCCACTTAAACTAGTAATATTGCAGAGGTGCAAGAAGCTTAAGAACTGAGATGATGAATGCAATTATTAAGTGTGTGATGCATTTATATGATATGTTAGTAATTCTAATTTTCTCAATATTTAGGAATTAAGTTTTATTGCACTTAATCTTTTTTTTTTCCCCTTTCTTGCAGTAAATATAGCCCTCGCCCTAGCAGCAAATGATTCGGTAGGTGAACATCTAATTATCAGCCTTCATGTGAAACAAATGTGTGTCATAAATAAAATGGTTACTGCTGGGGGCAGTCACATACATTGAATCTAAGTATTTACTCTGACAGTTAATTTCTTTATTTGTTTTTCATGGACTTTTGAGTTTTTATTAATTTGTTTACATTTTATCAGTACCATGTATGACTTAGTAGCTCTCATACTTCATCTGAGTTTGGCTGTGTCCTTTCCCTTGTGTGTCTCTTGAGTTCAACTGCAGTTCTGCAAGGATGTGTAGACATAGTAGAGGATGTTTTTGCAGGTTGGAGACATGTAATAAATAATTAAATTCTATCACTTCAGAGCACTGACTTGGAAAAAATATGAGCAAGTGCTGGATGATGTCCAAAACATTTTTTTATATCTCTAAAGATTTACTTTTTATGGAGAAATTAATGTGCAAAAATATATATAAACAGCCGAGGGAAAAAAAGGAGTTATGTATCTTCCCTAAAGCTTGGAAATACCTTTTTTTTTTTTTTTTTTTGGGTGACAGAATATCATTGCCCAGTTTGGCATTGCTTGAACTGTTACTTGGACTATAAATAGACAGTGGGAACTGTTCAAGTGTGAAAACAACAGGTCTTAGTTATGTCCACCTGCTGCTATAAACTGGGGGTAGTTCCATTGTAGATATTTATTGCCACAGAGGTAAGCTCAGAAGCAAACTTCACTTCTGTGTAAGAGCGTATAATGCAGGTTTTGTAGTCATAAAGCATTAATTAAATACAAAATGTCCTCAAGTACTTTAATTTGGTAAACGTAGAATCTTTTTCTTGTTGTAAAAGAAAACAACAGGTAGGAGGAGTGAGGTTTACATGCAATCTCCACACTTCTTTTAGGAATTCTGTAAAAGATGAAAAAAATTTCCATACACTCAGTCATACTTGATAAAAGGAGTGTGTTTAGAGCTGTTATATGAAATATGTACTGTTTGTAATGGCATCTGATATTTCACAGTTTTTAATTCTGTGTTTTAAATAGGCTGCTGGAGTAATTTGATTTCAGAAAAAAAATCTTGAAAAGCATAACTGAATGGTTCCTTCTAATTAACTTTAAAACATGGCATTTGCTGTAATACTTTTACAAAATGAATGCAGTCCTGCAATGTGATCTGTTTTGTGGCATGGTCATGGAGTAGCTCCATGGAAACCATGTCAACTAACTGCACATAACTTTCTGTACCAGCTTAGGTGTTTTTTGCGTTGTGCCTGATATTTTTCAAACATGCAGTTTTGTGCATTGTTTAAATTTATATTTACATAAAAGCATCCCTTAGTAATTCTGACATACACAAGTTTTTGGGATTATGCCCTTTGTTAGGAGTTAAACATCTGGCTTTAAACATAATAATGTGATACACCACTTCAGTAGCCCATTAAAACGCTTATAGAACACACAAATAAGAGAGACCATAGTCTAGAATGATGGAAGAGGTTGTTGCTGGAGTTACTTGGAAAATCAGCACCTGAGAAATACCTTTAAAAGAAATTGAGCTAAACAAGGTAAATTAGGATGCTCTAGTAATTTCTGATATTATGATTATGTGCTGGTGTAAAATTGGAGGCCAGCATCTGGTGGATGTTTATCAATGAGGAGCAGCTGCAATTGATGAAATAGCTGTGACTTGCATGAACTAATGGTCACAATTTAGCAAGCTGATGCTGTGGCAAAATTGTGCATCAATGTAGTTACAGGTTAGAAAATATGAAATTCAGGTGGATTGAATAAATGCAATTCTAGCTGTTTGTTCATGCATTAATATCTTTTTAATTAAAGATAATGATGGCATGTAATGTTTATGTTTAACCTTTGGGTTTGAGTTTGCTGGTATGTTCATTTGTGTACTCTGGTTGATTTCAGTTCACTAGTTTTGTGAGTCAAGGTTATGAAATGAATATCTCTGACCTTGATCTAGGCTGGGATGGTCCAGTGCTCTGAACTGTAGGGATCATTGTAATGTTCAGTTTTGTTATGGTGAAATAAATAAGGAGGTTGTTTTCCAGAGTCCATTGGTGCCTCTTGCTGAAGTTTATAGTGAATGTCTTTGAGCTCTGATATGCAGCAATGGACCTCATCATTTTACTTTTAATAACTACTGGTTGTGCATCACCTTCCCATGATTACCCTTCCCTTCGTTGCTATTGTAAGTTCATCTCTTTCTGAGGAAGCAGTAATGATTCTGTTAGTAGATCAGAGCTTCAGCAGCCTCCTGCAACTTCATTGCAGTCCTTATGTCTCTTATAAGCAAAATACAGATTTATAGAAACTGATGCTTGAACTTGATGTACTGTTTAAAGGAGGAAAGAAAGAACTCCTGAAGAAAAATAGGTCACCATGACAATAAAGGTCTGACCTTCCTTCATTAGATACAGTCTGCTTCTGTTACAAGTTCAATGTTTGTAACTAGATTTTCAAAGCAAGTAGTATGCTGGAACTAAATCACTTCAAAAAATCATTTTGTCTTCTGATCTTTCAAATGTTTTTTTTCTGAGATTATACAGGTCTCGGACTATTTAGAAAACTGTTTTCTGGTGAGGGAGGTCCACAGATCTGAAGATGCTTTCAGAGGAGATTGGGTTAGAGTATATTCATGCTGCTTTCAGTAACAGCTGTGACATCTTATTATTGTTTGATAATGTCATAAGCTGGAAGAGGAATAACAGTAAAAACATAAAGGAATATTTTGTCCTCTTGATAAAAGAAAGTTTCCTTCCATTTTCGCTTAAAACTCTACTTTCTGTAGTTAAACAAAACCAAAACTCCACTGTTTCTATAGATACTTTTTTTTTTTTAACTATGGAAGCTTTTTCAGTTACTAGTGGTGGTCTGAAATATTAAGGCATTGACAGAGCCTTGGACATTGTCATTGGCACACAGTGTCGTTGGCAGAGCTGGGATTAGAATTCAGGAGTTCCAAGTCTTGCATGCTGGTGCTCAGTCTGTTTGGCATATTTTTACCTCATGGATACAGAGTAAATAATTCAAGACAGGATTTCATTTAGATGCCTAGATACCACATCCAAGACAAAGTAGGTTTTGTGGGTTGTTGGTTGTTGGTGTGTGTGTTTTTTTTTTGTTTTTTTTTTGTTTTTTTTTTTTTTTTTTTTATGCAAAGCAGGGCAGCCCCCTGATCCTTTCTGGAATATTAAGCTTTTGGTACCCTGGGTTACCTGTTGTAGATGGATTAGTGAAGAATTGTATAAGCTCTTGTGCGTGTTCCAAGACCTATAAATCTATACCGTGTTCTTTTTGTCTTAAGAAATAACTTACAGTTTTACCCTTGTGTCCTATTTTTAATTGCTTGCTTAGTTTGACCGTGGATTCTTTTCGTTCTTTTGATGTACCAACAGTCAGTTGTACTCCCCTGGGAGCACTTGGGAAGAATTTTTGTGTTTTGTGCCAGGACGATTCATATTCAGGCTAGAACGACTACGAAAGCTGCCTGGCCAGAGACGATGTATTATAGTAGCAACAAGTTGAATTAATAGATGGCAGCAATAATAGGATAGAGATTGCTCGTTTATGAACAGAGTATTTTAGTGAGCAAACACCAGCTGTGCATGACTAAGGATGGCACAAATCCAGTTGGGAGGCTGCATGCTTGTGCTGTCACTATGAGGCAAGCTCCCCAGTCAGATTTCCTTTGACTCTCCTTTGCAGGAAGATCTAAATTTTTTCACTATGGGATGAAACGGTTTTTGTATTTTGAAGGACAAAGGAGCAAGAAGTAAAACCATATGGAACAAATTAGCATGTAAGCATAAGCAAGTGGCTTCTGCTTGCAGTAGTAGGGGCACATGATTAAAGGCATCAGTTTTAACTATTCCAGCCTATCTCTGTGTCAGGGGATTACTGGGTCAAGCAGATCAGGACCAAAATTTGAAAAAAATCAAGGGTGGTTTTATCTCGGGGAGTGGCCTTTGTTTTCCCAAGCAAACCCACTGGTTGTTGAGCAATGTAGTATTTTCAATATAAGACCATCAATGTTTCTGTACTGGGGAAGGTGGCCGGCAGGGGAGTGCTGAGGGGTGCGCAGAGCTCTTCTCCCCTGTTGTATTGCATTGAACCTCGGGCTGTAAAAGGCCAAACACATTGTCTTGTAATGGAAATAAAGCTGGGGTAACTTGATGATTAGCTAAATGAAAAACACTTATTCAAACAATATCGCAGTCAAAATGTCACAGTGCAGATTATTATTATTTTTTTTTTAAAAGCAGAAAACTCATGTGACATCTGCCTGTTATACACATCCACAAGTAAGAGGTCTCTCACAAACACATAGTAAATTATAGCATAGAAATTACGTAGTTACAAGCAGAGTCTTCATGTGAATAAGCTGTTGTGATAATAAAATTAGTTTTAATGACTTCAAAATGTTATTTAATGAAACAACACAGATAAATCTTCAGACTACTCAAAGTCCACCCAGCCTGTGTTCTTTGCATTCCAGCTTTATTTCGAATATTTGGCTCATGTAATTAAACTGTTTGTCTACAGGATAATATTTGACTTGTTGCACTAACAGATGACTTCACAATGTATATACATTTCTTTGTGGTAAGGAAAAAATTCTGTGTGGGGAAAACAAACAAATCTAGAAGAATTAAGACAGTAATGGGGTCCTTTATGAATAATTATAGCATGAAGGCAAGTTTTGACCTGTTTTGTCCTCCTCCCATGCAGCTTTACTAGTTATTAGGGTTTGATTTCTAGGCATCTTTACCTTCATTGCGTAGAGAATCAGAAGACTTTAATTGCTATAGATAAGGTGTTCATGCTTGTTTCTCAATGCTAAAAAGTGTCAGTAAAGCTGGAGATGCCAGTTGGAATTCATTTGGGTTATCTTGCAATGACAGCTCAGCTTCTTGATCAGCTGACAAAATAAGAGAATAAAACTTTAAAAATCTTACTGTTTTTCAAGTAAAAATGAGTGCAATTAAAAATGTTTTTAAACTT